GAAGGCACACATGAGACAAAGTTTGAGGTGAATAAGATGGGTTGGAAGTGTCCGGGTAGTTTTGTCTTCATTGTTGCTCTAATAATATTGATTGTGTAATATATCAAAATATCTATAATCTCAGTATTTCAGATATGGAGGCAGGAAAATCAGGAGTTCAAGGCCAGACTCAGCTTGAACTTGAGGCCAGCCTGCATTACATTGAGATCCTATCTCAAAAAAAAAATTTTTTTTTAAGAAAAAGGAGGAAAGAAGAAGAAAAGGAGAGAGGGAGGGGAGGGAAGAAAAGGGAAGGGGAAACAAGAGAGTCTCCAATGAGTAGCTGGCTTTGCCTGTACTTGATGATGTCATTTCTTTACACACACACACACACAGAGTCAAATTGTTGACATGTTTTTTAATTGGAAATGGACTTTTTCATATAACATATCCTAATTATGGTTTCTCTCCCTCAACCTCTCCCAGTTTCTTCTACCTCTCTTCCCATCTGGATCCACTCTCTTTCTGTCTCTCATTAGAAAACAAACTGGCTTCTAAGGGATAATAAAATAAAATAAGATACAATAAAATAACACCAAAGCTAACACATCAGAAACAAACACATTAGGCAAAACAACCAGAAGAAAAAGAGCCTGAGCAAAGGCACGAGAAATACTCACTCGTGGGCATACTCAGGAATCCCATAAAAACACTAAACCAGAAGCCATTATGCAAAGCAAAGGACCTGGTTCATATGTGTTTTCATCATGTTGGTTTAGAGAACCTTGTTTCCTTGGTGCCCTCCATCCCCTCTGGCTCTCACACGCTTTCTGCCTCTTCTTCCACAGGGGACTCTGATCCCTGAGAAGAGGGGTTTGATGGAGACATCCTGTTTAGGGCTGAGTTTTCCAAGGTCTATCACTCTCTGTGTAACATCTGGCTGTGGGTCTCTGTATTTGTTTCCAGCTGTTACTGGAGGAAACTTCTCTAATGATGGCTGAGCAAGGCCCTGACCTATGAGCAGAGTAGAATGTCATCAGGAGTCATTTAATTCATTGCTACTTTTAGTTTAGACCAGTAGTATTTGGCTCTAGGTCCCTGGGCTAGCTGTTCTTAGATTCATAGTCACCCAGGCAGTGTTGGGTATGAATTCCATCTCATGGAGTGGGCCTTAAGTCAGACCAGGTATTGGTGGGCTACTCCCACAAGCTGTGTATCATCATTGCCCTAACATGTCTTGCTGGCAAGACGCCATTGTAGATGGCTGCCTTGGTATTTGTGTTTCTTTTGGTAGTCTGAAGAGTAGCTTCCTACATCAAAGACTCTAGGATATAGGGGTAAAGGTTCTATACAGGCACCAGCTCAGCTTCTCCATGTTCAGTGCGTTATGTGGGTATTGTCTTCAGCAATGAGCCCTTAACATCACTTGTGGAGAACAACATATAGTCTTAGTAATAGCCTGGTTTACATGAGGATTTCCACGGCCAACAACTCAATTAACTGTAACCCAATCCCAGGACTAGAAGCTTTGTTTGATGACAAAGAATGGCCACTGGGGCTGTCTTCCCATTATTTGCTGATGTCATTTAGATTGTCTCTATAGATGGATATATTTAAGAAGCTTCTACTGTAGTAGGTTTCCATAATATCCCTCAAATATTCCTATTTTTAGAGACTTTAATTAAAGTGATAGTGTATAACTATATTAATTTATGGGGTAAAGGGATAATATAATTTTTAAGCACTGTTGTGATCACATCAGGATAGTAAACATACCGATCACCTCAAACATTTACCATTTGTGTGTGCTGAGAGCATTTAAATTTTATTTTCTTAGCAATTTTTGAATGTCTGTGAAATCTCAGAATATATATGGTGGGTTTTTATTACTTGGGTGTGGTTTTGAGTTTTGTTGTACTATCTTATTAATGACAATCTGTGACCTCCTTTCTTTAAAAAACAAAACAAAACCTGAAGCCTCTATACACAGTCCACTCAAGGATCAGAGTGCTGGGGAACCCAGAATCCTAGAACTAACTTTAAACTGAGAGCCAGACATCAAAAACAGCAATGAACAAGCTTCTGGGAAAATGTGGGACAACAATTGCAGGAATGTGTGTTTATGACTGGTGGTTAAGAAAATAGAAAACAATAAAAGTGAGTATCCTGAAAACTGACACAGTGTGACAGCATGACACCATTCTCCAGAAGGCTGTTTGCAAGGCTATTTCAAAGCCTCACACAACGGCTGTCGACACAGTGATTGCCCTTCAGTGATTTTCCACAGAAACAGGCAGAATGATGGGCAGAGTATGTTCAAGAAAATTCACTGCAGCCTCATTTTAATGTAAGAGAAGAAATTATTCAGTCTAAGTATCCAAAAATAGGAAATGGTCAAAATAAATTATATACTTTACACAAAGGCATTCTTGACAGCCATTGCAAGGCTTGATTGCTTCATGACACAGAAAATACTTAATGGTGATGAAAAATATACTCCTAAGTGTGTAAACTATATTAGTCACATGTTGTAACACATTCTTCCTTGAAAAGGGTAAAATAATGATGTGCCCAAATGTTAAGAAATGACTTGAGGGTATTACGATGATAGTTAATTTCTGCATTTTCTAATTTTTAAATGAACATGTAGCTTTTATAGATATTTTAATTTAGATTTTGTTATACTCCAGTGTCATAGGTGACAACTGATAGTATCTTAGTGTTCTCCAGCCTTCTCTTTTTGCTTGGGTAGGTCTTTGATGTACATTATACTGACACTGTGTGACAGTTTTGAATTTCAACAATTCTTATCAACCACTCTCCCTCAGCCTAAAAAAACGTAGCAAAAACAAGTACTTTGTAGTACTTGATACCAGCCAGGAAGTAACTTGCATAGTTATGAAAATAGCAGTTGTTCATGCTTCCAGCTATGATCAATTATAGAAGTTGGTAGTTTGTTTAGCAGCTTTCTAAAGATTTCTAGTTTGTTTGTTTGTTTTGCTCAAGTTTAATTTGAAATTATTTGATGGTTAAATTGGCTGACCTCTAAGGCCATCTGTAACCCTGAGGTTCTGAATCTAATGGAACAATGTATTCAATTCCTTCTCCATTAATTAGCTCTCTGAGGGAGCAGCCTTACCAGGCCACAGAGGAAGACAATGCAGCCACTCCTGATGAGATCCGATAGACTAGGATCAGCAAGAAGGAGAGGGGGACCTCCCCTATCAGTGGACTTGGGGAGGGGCATGCATGGAGAAGGGGGAGGGAAGGTGGGATTGGGAGGGGAGGAGGGAGGGGCTTATGGGAGGATACAAAGTGAATAATTAATTAATAAAATTAATAAAAATTAAAATAAAAACTATTGAAAAAAATTAGCTCTCTGAAAGAACGAGCTATATAGATATAGACCATGGGCCCATAACCCCATTGTGCTCCAGTTTCAGTCAGTGAGTTTTAGGAGGATGTTGGGGTCTCTGAAAAGCTCAACACATTTAACCACTGAGTAACCTACAAATCTCTATAGAGCTTAGAATTGGTAGATGAGCTAAGATCAGAAAGTTGTCTTAATCAGTCTGATATGATATTTGACGTCTAAACAGACCAGGCAAAGACACTGCAAGATGGTGTGGTCGAGGCTGGGAGACCTCTCTGCTGAGATTGGAGATTCATTTAGGATTTATCTCCTATCTCCTCTGATAACTGTAACTTTTAGTTGAAAGAAAATGCCTAGTTTGGAAGTGTACTTTTCAAATTATAGTGTATCTTCAGAATTTAAAAAAATTAAGTTATGGAGGCTGTCTACCTATTTTAAACACATTCTTATGTCTCTTATATGATCTTTTTAAAAACTAAAAAGGAAAACATTCTGATGTATTATGGCCATGTAGAGCAGTAGTAATACAGGAGTATTTTTCTTTCACATCACCTTTCCCTTGCAGTTAAATTATTTGTGAATGTTTTATGTGTGGTGTGTCTGTGTGTGTCATGCGTGTGCCTTGCTTCGGTGTTCATGTCCAGTGGCCTGAGACGGACTTTGAACAGTCTTTCTCAGTTGTTTCTCTGCCTCTCTGAGACCATCTCACTGAGCCTGAAGCTTGCTGTTTCAGCGAGGCTGGCTGGCCAGGAACCCCCAGGACCCACTGTCTTCCCTACCCCATCTCACATGCACACAGTTCTGGGGATCTAAACTCAGTTCCTGTGTTCACACAGCAGCCACTTCACATGCTGAGCCGTCTGAGCTCCCATGTGAGGATGTTCTAGGGGTTTCACCCTAAATGATGAAATTGTTTGCAACCTAATTTCAAGGGATCTGAGACAGATAGAAAGCACTGGAATCCTACAGGAATGTGAGAAGAAAATACACTTCTCTGACAGTGCACTTACTAATCTCTTTTTCTTACTTGTTCTCTGGAACCTATGAAAAGTGTGTTCACCAGAGTCCCTCCTCAGCACATGAAATCAGTAGATACTGCTTATGTAGACATCATAGTTATGGTTCAGTCTGAGAAATGAATGTTCAGTTCTGGTTCTGGTCCTCTTTATTGTGTCTGTCAGAATGGACAAGGAAGGGTTTAGCATCACTAACAAAATCTTAGCACAACCCTCAGTAAGCTCCAACTATTCAATGAGCAGCTCTTTATTTCCCGGCTTCTCGCCTGTTTTAGCTCTGAACTTTCACGTGTTTGTCGTTTTCCCTGTAAGGCTGCATTAGCACTCAGACCTATTGATTCCCTTCATGGCTCTTGCCTTTCACATCCGTTAGTGATGACAGTCTTCCCACAGTCAGGGCTGGAAAGTGAGCACCTTACTCCAGTAGAGGGCACCCTGTCTCATGGTGAATGAACTCAGCGATGTGTGAGCAGCAGAGCAGAGGTATGTGAGTGAGTGTGTGTGTGTGTGTCCCTGTGCCCTCACAAACATTGTTCTGAAAGTAATCGGCACATTTGTCACTCCAGCAAGTAAACTTAAGATATGTATCTGTACATCTGTCTCAAATATTTCATTTGTGTTTTTTCTTCCAGCCTCGTTGACTGTGATTTCAGTAAGAGCTGTCTCAGGCATGATCACCCTTTCTGTGACGGGTAAAATGCAGCTGACTGACGCCATCTTCTATATCATGCTTGTCATCATGATAGCCTCTTGTATTTTCCAAGTCAAGTAAGTCGGTGTCTACAAACTCGACCTTTCAGGATTCCTGTGCTTCTCTCTCTGTGCACTGGCTTAGATGATAATTAAGGTGAAGTACAATGGGTCTCAGGCTAAAGGACCTCCAGTTTCTGCATAGCCAGCATGCTTTGCTTTCTTCTTCCCGTCAGTAATTAGTTTGTACTAAGCACTGCCTTTGTGTCTTGTAATTCTAAAGTTCGGCCTTGGTCCAGCTAAGTGTGCTTGATGCTTCCCTGATGTTCTTCTGCTTGTAATTAATACCATCGTACACAGGTTGTCATTAGCAATAAATCAAAGGGGCAGGTCCACGTCCAGGGTTTCATTCTAAATATAGACATGCATGACCCCTTCACCTCCATCTCTTAGCTCATGCTCATTAATTGCCTAGAGATGGACAAAACCAGACATTTGGCCCAGAGGAAAACCCTTTCCCCATAACTTTGAGTCTTTGGCCAGATTTTTCTTCATACCCATAGGATTTCAGGATGATTGTTTCATGTTTCTCTTGAGTACTAATACTGGTGACATGGGACAGTTTTAATCCCTGTCCCACCTCCATCTACTTTAATCACTCTCCCACTTTCATGTTGCAAGTGAACTGCTCTATGCCTGATAGGTTCATTTGAGTTAGACAGAGTTCACCCTAAAATGCTATGCAAAGTATCACTCCCGTTCCAAGAAGAAAGCCAGAGCTCAAGCTGCTCATGTGGGGGGCTTATCCTATAGACAGCAGCAAAGTCTAAGTTGTGTATTTTCTAAGTAGGTCCTAGGGCTATGGCAGGAGGGTGACAGGAGAAATCCAGGCCTTCATCTGTCACCTTCTTAGACTGAGTGTGTTTATCATACTTGCATATTGTTATTTCGACACTTCTGTCTTCTAAATTAATTGGCACTGTGACAGTGCCTTTTGGGATATTAGTTCATTATCCTTACACCATGCTTCATGAATTTAAAGGCAGACACAATTGAAGGACGACTGCATCCTGTCAGCCTTATTTAACTCCTGCCCACCATCACAAAGTAAAAGCATACTCTTCAACCTTAGGTCCCATTAGAATTACCTGAGAAGATTTATTTAGACAAATGTGTTCACACACATGCACACACACATACACACTAGCACACACACACACACACATGTTAGCTTTATCCACAAACCTCCTTTTTTGTTGTTGTTGCTTTTTTTTTTTTTTTTTTTCAGTTATTTTAGACATCTGTTGCTCCTTGCTGGACAAGTCCCTGTCACTTGCCCTACCTACAGCAGCGCTTTTGAAACCTCCAGGGGATGTACATGCATGGCGGCACTTCGTTGCCACCGCCAGAGCAGCAAAGCCAGCGTGAGAACTGGAGCTCCTGGTGGTGGCCGCAGCAGGAAGCTCAGCTCGCACACATGCTCTGCAGCTGGAGCACCCAGCATCGCTCTTGAAACATTCCTTTGCCTCTCCATCTCCTTTCTTGGCACGTGGCATGTCAGTGGATAGCTATATGTTCCCAGATATGGTATTTAACAGATTCTAGGGTCTATCCTAACGAATCAACCCGGTGGGATACTGGTCCAGCAGCTTGAATCATTTCCAACTCAAACTTCTGTGGCCTCAGAATATGATTAATTGCTTTTCATTGTTATTGTTGTTGGTTTAAACGGACCATAAAACCTGACATCTGATCTCGTACATGAGATGTGTCTGGGCTGTGACTGCTGATTGGAAGTGCCCTCTCACTGCACTTCCTTCCCTTTGTAGTCGTAGCTGCAGAGCACACAGCTCTTGAAGTTATTGTCAGCGCATTGCTGAACACTGCCAAACCAGAGCTTCAGTAAATGCCATCTTCTCTAGGTTCCTGAACCAAGCCACAAAACTCTACACAATGACCACAGTGGTGCCAGTCAACCATGTCTTCATTACAACTAGTGCCATCATCGCAGGTGAGTGCTGGCCTTCTGTGCTTGGTGAATCCACCCCCACCACAGGTACAAGATTCTCTCAGGAGTCAGAAAGAACAACAAGGAAACTCTGGGGAGCTCATGTTCCCAGCCTCCAACCAGCCTCTAACTTCCTCCATGGTGATCCCCTTTGTGTGACTGTTCTCCAATGCTCTCTGCCTCCTGAGGCAACTCAGGTCTGTTTGGGGATGGCTCTTATTAGCTGGAGAGTTCTAATGACCACAAAGGGCTTCCTGGCATTGGAGCTCAAATTAGTTTTCTTATGAGTTCAAGATACTTCCCTTTGTTCTATGTTCTTGAGTCTTCTGCTTGTAGCTCCTGCTAATCAAAGTGACTGAAAAATCCTCTTGAGTGTTGCCTCTAAGCAAACACCCCCAATTTTTTGAAACTCATCCTTCTGTACTCCTCATCACTTTAGTGAGAAAATGGGGTCCCTTATCTAAATTTACCATTGCAGGGAAGGCCTGACAGACTTCTACATTTGCTATTTCCTCTCTTGTATTTTAATGAATACTTTTTACATTGCAGAGATAAGACTGTTAAAAAGTACAAATTTAAAAATTGGTCCAAATCAAAATAAAATAAATTCAAGGAAATCATTTATAAACTTGATAATGATAGGTCCTGGCTCAGTGGCTTTTTGATGTATTTGTCATTTTCTCATCAGGCTACTGTTATATAGTCCAACACTGTCCTGGAACTTGCTAAGTAGCTTAGGCTGGCCCCTAACTCATGATCTTCCTGCCTCTACATCCTGAGTGCTGGGATCACAGATGTGAAGCACCAGGTCCAGCCCAGCAGACAAGTGCTTGAATTAATTCATACAACCTCTGTTTCAAAAAAAAAATTGAACATCAAAGAAATGCTTAAAGAAAAGATTATATCCCAAGGTATCTGTCTTTCTTAGTATCTGGTGCTTTCTGGTGACGGTGAGAAAAGACTGTATGTTGGTACCTCCTAGAATCATCAGGAAATTAAAACAAAGCAAAAAGAGTTACAGGCATGACTTACAGCATAATAATCAATATACAGTAAAATGTAAAATAATGTAGCTCCCTGAGCAGAAGTCTTTTCAGCTAACAGGGCTAGATATAATGCTCGGTAGACTGAGAAACTGATGATTTATTGCTGGGACTTTCTGGGAATGATAGCAGTTCATCTTCTGGTTGCCTATGGAATGGCAGTAAAGCTTTTCAATGGCCCTGTCCTCCCCACAACAAAAGATACAGCTTAAAGTTGAAATGAGACACCACTTCCTTGCTAATGAGTTAATTAGTGGTTTTATTACAGTAGCCAGCATCGACAAGGCTGCACAATCATAGGCACCCTTATGGGCTTGGGGAAGTAGTACCGCTCTCCCAGAACTGAATTTCATGGTATTTATCAAGGACCTTTAAAAAAAATTCTACTCTGATTCTACAAGTCAGCAGCAAAACCACAAGTGACCTGATTTTCAGGCAGGCAAAGAACCTAAGTGTTTCTGCAAAGAAAATATAAAATTGCCAAAAAGCAAATGAAAATGTTCAACGTCAGTAATCATTAAGAAAATAAAATGAGATTCCAGTTCATGCCCATTAGAATGATGACTATTTGGGGGGTTGTTTTGTTTTGGGGACAGTGTCTCTCTACATAATGTTGGCTGTCCTGAAATCACTGTGAAGACCAGGCTGGCCTCAAACTCACAGAATCTGCCTGCCTCTGCCTCCTGAGTAGTGGGGTTAAAAGAATGTGGCACCAACACCAAACCAAAGAGTTGTTTGCTCGTGTGTCTTATGTATGTGGGTGTTTTGTCTGCATGTACATCTGCATACCAGAAGAAGGCATTAGATCCCATGAGACTACAGTTATGGATGGTTATGAGATACCATGCGGGTGCTAGGGATTGAACTCAGGACCCCTAGAAGAGCAGCTAATGTTCTTAACTGCTGAGCAATTTCTCCAACCCTAGGCCAAACAAACAAACAAACAAACAAACAAAAACCAAGAAGCAAGGATATAAAACACTAGAATGTTAACACCTGTACCATTGCTAAATGACATAAATAAAAATATAGTGTAGCCATTATAGAAAAATAGTATGAAGTTAATAAAAACATTTTTAAAGAGAAGCTCATCGGAGCAAATGATATATGCATTTCCCTGTAGCCTACAGGAGAAAACCAGAAGGAAATGGAAGGGAGCTTCATGGAGAAAAATGGAGGTAGGGCAACACCAAGTTGCCAGAGATTTTTCTAGTGCCCATATGGGCATCTAGCCAGAATTACAGAACACAGGACATAGCCATAGGGCTAGCACGGCTGCAGCAGATACTCATGCCAGTGGCCTCAGGTTCCACCCAGACTCTCAGGGTGGGTTTACTGACTCCTGATGAAACCATAGGTAGAAAATGGGCACTGGAGTTTTGTTCTCTTGCATGTTCCACAGAGAAAACCTGGACTGGATAAGAAATTTCTGTTTCCAATGCTGGGAAGACAGCCCAGGCAGTACAGTGCTTTCCATGCAAGCTGTACTATGATCCCATAGGCTCACTAGCTAGCCAGCCTGGCCAAATTGATAAGCTCCAGGCCAATGAGAGACCCTACCTCTAAAAGCAAGGTGGTGAACAGCTCATGAGAAAAGCCCCTGAGGTTATGCCCTGGCCTCTACACAGCACAAGTGTATGTGCATACATATGACTACACATGCATACACAAATACATGCATATGTAGACAAAAATGAAATTTCTCCTTACAAAAACCATGTTAGTTTTATAATATTTGTAATTATATTAAGCCTGCAAGCCCATGTAAAATTTTTGAGTAACTTAAAGTGTAAGAATAGCATACAGAAAGACAGGAGCCTACCACAGAGGGCTTCTGAAAGACTCTACCCAGCAGGGTATCAAAGCAGATGCTGAGACTCATAAGCCAAACTTTGGGCAGAGTGCAGAGAATCTTCTGAAGGGGGAGATAGAAAGACCTGGAGGGGACAGGAGCTCCACAAGGAAAGCAACAGAACCAAGAAATCTGGGCCCAGGGGGTCTTTTCTAAGGCTGATACTCCAACCAAGGACCATGCATGGAGATAACCTAGAACCCCTGCACAGATGTAGCCCATGGCAGCTCAGCATTCAAGTGGGTTCCCTGGTAATGTGAACAGAGATTGTCTCTGACTTGAACTCAGTGGCTGCCTCTTTGATCACCTCTGCCTGATGGCTAGGCCACAGAGAAGACAATGCCGAAAGTCCTGATGAGACCTGATAGGCTAGGGTCAGAGGGAAGGGGAGGAGGACCTCCCCTGTCAGTGGACTGGGGGAGGGGCATGAGAGGAGAAGAGGGAGGGCAGAATTGGGAGGGAATGAAGGAGGGGTTACAGCTGGAATACAAAGTGAATAAATTATAATTAATAAAAATATATTTTAAAGGAGATAAACAGAAAAAAAGGAATAGCATACTAAGTCTTCAAATTAAAATACTAAATGTACATTTTAAGGGAAATCACACATAGAAAAAATGCATTAACACAATTTTTTTAAAATGATGTGTTGGTATTGTAAATGACCCTACCCTAAAATTGACTTTGTTTCCTGTTCTTATATAGGCATCATATTTTACCAGGAATTCCTTGGTGCTGCTTTTCTCACTATATTTATATATCTTTTTGGGTGAGTAAATGTCTCAGAGGTAAGGTATGTGAAGTTCTATTAATTTTGTATAGGACTTTTGGCATTGTACCTGAATTATAGAAAATGGGAACATACTATAAGAAACATTTTTCAACTTAATACTCTGCACAAGGCTCTGCCCTTGGCTTTGTGGCTTATGTGCCCTTTGAGAGTTCTGCAACATTGGGGATTTTTTAGTTCTAGACAAAATCACGATAAATCCACTGGTTTCTGTGGTTGTTCCATAGCCTTTTAGTACTCTATCAGGCTCACCTTTCCTTTGGGAACTCTTAGGGTAGATCTCAATTTGACAAACATGGATGCCTTTTGGATCACCCAAAATAAAAGGTCAAGACTGTGGTAGATCCTTAGTTTTAAATTTGATAGCTTCAGGTTAAAACTTCCTGTCTTAGAGCACCAGCTCAGCCCTTAAAATGTGGTGGATGTCACTGCTTACATTGCAAGCAAGCAGAGAGCCGAGCCTTTGTGATTTGCTGCCAGTGAATAGCCACTTCCATTGGCTCCAAGCACACCCCATCAATGCTTAGCTGCTTCTTGATCTGTTATTCAGCATGACCATTGTTATGCAAACTTGAGCCTAGTCTATTTTCAACATAGGAAACCATCTATCTTGAAAATTCAATTTCATAAGACATTTGGGCACAGCCAAACTTCTGGGGTCTGGAAACTATGACTATTCTTATGGCCAAGGACAATGAGATTTTTTTTAGAAAATTAAAGAATAACTTGCTTTGCACTCTTATTGCATGCCAGTAATGGGTCTGGGCATGCATAGATAGAAAACGAGACCTAGTGTCTACCCAAAGGGTTTAGAGCCTGAATTAGCCTCCAGATGGTGAAAACCTGGGGCAGAGATTTATTGGAAACTGCCCAAGCCTTGGTTCTGGGTATAACTATTACTGGCTGTAAGAATTAAGACTAGTTTGAAGCAGTCTACCATAAAATAAAAAAAAAAAAAAAAAAAACTGGGATACAAAACTGATGGAATTTATGTAATTGTGGGGAAGTTAGAGCTCAGTTAATATTGTCACAAGCTGTTTCAGTATTCCTGTGATCTTTATTAACATGTTTCTTACAGGTGCTTTCTGTCATTCCTTGGAGTATTTTTAGTGACAAGAAATAGAGAAAAGGAACATCTACAACAGCCTTTTATTGGTTTTGGGAATATTCCTGGTAAGAAAAAAAAAAAAAAAGAAAAAAAGACATGTATATTTTTTCTCTAATTTATAATAGATTCTCCTTAGGCCTGTCGTGGTTCAGCAGGTAAAAGGGCTTGACATCAAGCCTGATGACATGAATTTGTTCCCTGACACTCACATGGAGATAACCAACTTCCCACAAGTGTTCCTATCTCCATGCATGCATACACACACTGACAAATAAATATAATTTTTTTAAATATTTTATCCTAGCTGGGCGAGGTGGTACACGCCTGTAATCCCAGCACTCAGAGAGGCAGAGGCAGGTGGATCTGTGCAAGTTCAAGGCCAGCCTAGTCTAGGACAGCCAAATCTACACAGAGAAAGAAACCCTGTCTCGAAACACCAAAAACAGAAACAAAACAAAAAAAATCCTTATAAATTAATCATTGTTGGCATTATTTTTGTATGAAGACATAAAAACATGATTTTTACCTTAAGAAGTGCATTTATGAAGCCCAGGGAGGTATACTGTTGATGATCTATAGAGTGTCAGTTTTGTACAGAACAATGAGATTGTTGAGGAAATGACAAGGCTGCCTTGATGTGGGCTACTTGGAGGGTATCTTCATTGGGTTTTCTTAAATTGTCAAAGGACATGGATACCTGGGGATGGCAAATCCATGACAGCTGCAGACCAACTGGTGGTCCAAATACTGAGGAACATTGTTCCTGAGACGGCCTGAGGAAGCTCGTTCACTGTGATCCTAACAGTGATATCACGACAATCACCAAAATGTAAACACTCCTCTCCCTCCTCACCTCCTTCACTCATGCAGGCTGGGACCTTGGGTACCATCTTTCCAATGCTCAGCTTCACTGAGAAGCAGCTCACCTTGGGCATGTGCAGTACACAGTTCGCCTGTCTTTACTGTCCTCCCATCCTAGCCCCACCCACCCACTCCCAGGCAGGGAGAGCGCTCACCTACAGGTTTCCATACAGGAGTAGAGGTAGTCTTGTCCACCACCTGTTAGCATCATGCCTTTAAAACAAAAATCATTCAGTTCCTATAAAATTGGGAAATGAAGGCCAAGAAAGTGAATCTGCTCCTCTCTTCTCTGCCATGTGAGCTACCTGATCAGGAGTTCTCAGTGACAGAGCTGACATTAGCAGCAACAGCACTCATTATGGCTTGTTTAAAATTGATTTGGGGGAGGGGCTTTAAGAAATAAAAATGAGGGCTGGAGAGATGGCTCAGAGGTTAAGAGCTCTGGGTGCTCTTCCAAAGGTCCTGAGTTCAAAACCACGTGGTGGCTCATAGCCATCTATAATGAGACCTAGTGACCTCTTCTGCCATGCAGGCAGAGCACTGAGGGCTTTTATATTTATTTTTAAACTATTTCCCACTTGACTAAGCCTCTTGCGTAGGATCCGTAGTGGCTCCTGAAGCTTCTGTTCCCTGGTTTCCTGTGTTGTTACATGGATGTGGAGGGGGAGGGAAACACTGTGGGGAAAGGTTTGGAGGTGAGTGACTGCGTTGTGTTGTTCTCCTGATTGCTCTAACCTGTTCTGTTCCCAGTACAGGGTGGGCAGACATCATGTGGACAAGTGTGTGACCACATGACAAGCACTGCGAGATTTTTGTGGGCCTTTTCTTCCTTGACGTTTTACCTTCATTGAGAGGGTAACCACATAGTATTAGTCAAAGGCATAAATGTGGCCAGAGCTGAAGAGAAATTATTAGGATGTTTTTATCTTTAAGAGCTCAAAGGTCTTTTATGATTATTATCTCCACAGGGAAACAAATGTTGGACAAAATACAACCAGATTCAAATGGCTTATCCTATGGAACCTTGCCTGGTGGAAGTGACTCAACAAAGATCCAAAGCGGAGAGAAGAAAGAAGCCTAAACTGCCGAGAGGGATGGCTGTTGGCCTGTTATCCAATACCACCTTTTAAAAACATTGCACATGTTCAGTGTGTGTCAGCAGCTATTTCATGCTGACATATGCACACATTCAGTTCAGTCCTCTCCCCCCTGTGGTGAGTCAGGCCTTCCTAATCTCTCGCAGTCTAATGCTTTTATGGAATGTAACTCAGTGCTCCTCACACCCTGAGCCTCTCCCTAGCGAGCATCTGACTGGCTGGATCTTAATGAGAGCCTGGCTGCTTGAGCAGGAGTGTCACACAAAAATGCACGCTTGAGATTTGGCCATAGAAGGCCTGGGTTTCTTCCGCATGTGGCTCGCAGGATCTGCCTGTTGGCTTCAAAAGCACCCTCTAGTGCTACAGCTTTAGCCTTTAAAAAAAGGTTTGATGCTTTTTGTTCTCAGGTGTCTTCTATAAGCCTCTTGTAAGGAACTCACTCCTTTTCCCTCTTAGGATGGCGAGTCATCGTCTCAGAAAACCAACCCTGTTAAAATCTTCCTTTCAAAATAAAGGGCATCATTAAAAAATAGAGTTTACAAGTGGCGTTCTGTGATGACGTATGATAAAAACTCAAAGACCTGCTACTGGCATTATTTTAAGCCTAAAAACTGGGAGCATTTAAAAGATGTGACTATGCTCACCTCTGTGGCATATATACCAAAACTCAAACAATACACATATTATCATGGCCTCTGTGTAAGTATGACACACAAATTTATAAAGTGTTAAAAGTTTACACCAATGTTTTTTTAATAAAACTCATTTTCTCCAACCTTATGATGCTATTATATTTACATTTAAACTCAAGAAAAACTTTTTGTCATACACCTTAAATTGTTACACTTTATCAGGTGAGATTAACTTTCAATACAATTCTCAAAGTGGCATTTAGTTTCTTAGGGTATTCATACTACATGCAATTTCTCCCCCTAAGTCCTCTGAGGCTTTGCCAATTTTTCTAGAAAAATTAGAGATGATTAGAACAGTGGGTTTCAGTCACTTGAATCTGGCCCTAGAATACAGCCACGTGGTCAAATGTGAACACAGAAGGCCCTAGGCCTCGTGTGACTTCGCTGCACCCACTCACCATGGGCCCATTCACATGAATTTGCAGACAGAATCTGTAATAATGGTTTTCCTTATGCCATACCTAACATTTAAACAGTGAGAAAAGGGGACACATTTATTGTAACCAAATAATGAGGCCCATCCTTAGTGACATTTTAAAACCTCAGGTCACTCAAGCCATTCTATCCCATTGTCACTGAAGACACATGTGCTAAACTTGGAGCTAATGATATACTAATTTTAACTATGTCTAGTCTTTAATTTTTTCTTTATTATAGTGTAAACTCCTCACCAAACTGGAATAACCCAAAGCCCATGTCTGGCTTCTGTTCACAATTCCTGCCACTGTGAAAAGTGTCCATTAATCTAGACGCAACAGTCATATAATTAATGATGTTTTGCTGAATGGGTACATACGTTGGCTCTGGGAAGCTCAGATAAGTTATGTGTCCATTGCTTTGAACTATGGATTTCTAGTAAATCTTGACATTGGTTTCAAAAACTGGGAAAAGAGTTTTACTTGACCTAGGACCACATTCATAGCTACAGTGCCCAGTTTTGACCAAAGCACTGTAGAATTTTGCACAGATACACACTTAACAACAGTATGCTGGTATGCTCCAATATTTGCTTTAGAGGTTTTGAGAAATTAGATTCACTCATGGGATACAGAAATGCTTTTGAAATAAAGGTTACACATTGTAACCTGGTAACCTGGCATTGTAAGCTGGTAACCCTTGGCTAACATTCAGCTCATCTGACTATTTTTCTAGAGCAATGATTGGCAAACTTTTTCAGTAAAAACTTAAAGAAGTAATTATTTGGGGGATTGTGTTGTCCATATGGTATCTGTCCCCTAACACTCAGATATTCCATCATAGCACAAATAGAACCATGGACAATATGTAAACAAATAAGAATGGATGTGCATCAGCAGTTATTAATAAAACTAAATAGTAACCGATCCATGTCGGTAGTTTGCCAAGCCCTAGTCCAGACTCTTTTTGCCCTTGATATACGACTTTCTTTTCTTGTTTCTTGGCCACTGGATAGCTAAAAAAGAAAAAAAAAATTTTTTTTGATACTTCATAGTTTATGACAAACCAGATACTTGATATTTACATTAAGATAAGTTTGCTTATATAAGAAATAAATGGATTTGTTGAGTTTATTCTCAGAGTCCAACTTTGGCTCTTTGGACACTACTAAACATGCTGGAAGAATTTCTCCAGTCTCATACACCATGCTGATAATAACTTTAAGAATTATCTCTCAGGCAGGCGACTAATGCAGAGGTCTCTACCATCTAATTGCTTTGCTTTCCCTACACTATTACACTTTTTATTATCAAATCCTTTGAAAACTAATACAATAAAAAGATTGGGGGGTGTGGTGGCACACGCCTTTAATTCTGATACTCAGGAAGCAGAGGCAGACTTATCTCTGTGAGGTCAAGGTTAGCCTGGCCTATCGAGCAAGTTCCAGAACAGCCATGGCTACACAGAGAAAACCTGTCTCAAAAAAAGAAAAAAAATGGAGGGTGCAATGGCCCTCACCTGTAATCCCAGCACTAGGGAAGGCAGACACAGGCAGATCTCTGTGAGTTTGACGACAGCCTGGTCTAAAGAATGGGTCCAGGACAGGCAAGGCTATACAGAGAAAACCCTGTCTCAAAAAAAATTTTTTTTCAAGAGATTCAGAATGTATTCACAAATACACACACACACACACACACAGAGAGAGAGAGGCCACTGCCAACATATACATGTTCACATGTCCTACATGCAGTCTTGGGGTTTCTGTTCTGTAGTGGAAAAAAAAGCAAGGAGGCAGATTTTGTAGATGAGTACAAGTTCAATGGTACTCAAGAGTAATAGGACAATGCCTAAGTCCCATTTAGAGTCTAATTGGCTCTAAAGAAAGCAAGTGTGGTGGTGGACATGACTCAAATTAATGGAAATAGCAAGCTAAGTTCCTAAAGCCAAGAACCCTCTGTGTGCTCTTTGTTTTCCAGGCACATAGCACATCCAGGAATAGTGACTGGACATGTTCAGCCGCTTTGAAGGCTGCCTTTAGGATGCCAATTTAATAGTGATGTGAAGGACATAAACACAACACTTAGTAAAATTAACCTTCTCAGCACCCATCCAGTTTTCTTTACTCTGAATAAGCAACTGTAAACCTAATGCATGTATCTGGCACCTGTCCGTCCCTCTTTCTGCCCAACTCAGTCCTTTTTACTGTCAAAGTTTTGCTTTTTCAGAATGTCATATGTCTGGGATCATAATATGAAGGCTTTTCAACTTGATTTCTCTTATTTATTGAAACACACTCTGTCTTTCATGGCTTGATGGTCTTTTAGTAAGATTGCTAAACACCACACATTTCCTACTACTAAGAGCTAAAAATTGAGCCCAATATGAATGTGTGAGGAATTCTGAGACTGCTTCTAATTGTTATATTCATCAATAGCCTGGCTCTTATTATGGTCATCTAGAAACAAAAATAAAAAATAATAATAGTCCACACGTACACAGTATTAAATACAGACCATTCTGGGGCTATTGAACTCAGTGCTTTAAATAGTGCTTTAGCAATTGTAAATTCAGGGAGGTGCCTTCCCACCCAGAAATTCTTGCATCTGCCCCCTTTCTTACCAGCCTGAGGGCACCACAACATGCTGTCCTGTGCCAGGACAGCAAATCAGTTACAGGAGCTGTGGCCCAACTAGGAAAACACTTTCAGTCTGGGTCCTTGTTGAGAGAGTTACTGAGTCCCAACCACAGCCTAAAGGAGGAATATCAACCCCAGAGCAAATAAATGGTTTTTCAAGATGCACCAGTTGAGCAAGCCATTGCTAGAGAGTTCACAGAGTCCTGGCAAGATGCAAGATAATCTCCATGTTCCAGGAAAAGATCTCCTTCCAACGGATCTGGCAAGTGCACCGATGGACACAGAGCTGGCCTATTCCCATTGGAGCAGCTTGTGTGGACCAAAGCCACTTTGCACATTTGAGCTGCTGTGCACTTCCAGAACCTTTCCTTTCATGATTCTAATTTTAAAACAAACCTCAGACATTTTCTGAAGTTTGGGCCTTGCTCACTCTGTCCAGAACACCTCACCAAAGCCTTCTGAACACAATGCACCTGCAAAGAAATCATGAGCTTTGAGAGTGCCTAATCCAGAGACTCAGAGCTTAGGGTGCTGCCTGATTATACACTACTCACCCAAATACCAAGTGTCTCAAGTTGGCAAATACTCATGAAGTCACTAGATCAAAATTGATTGCTGACTATTTTCAGTGTGTATTTGGTTTGATGAATTTTTTAGAGCACTTTTGATATTGCTTCTTGAACACGGAGCAGAAAGTGCAGAGATTTCCAACATACTCCCAGTCCCCATTGCTGCACAACCTCTCCTTTATCAACATTCTTCCTCACAGGGTACTAACTACTGATGCATCTTTATCATGCCTCGTCCCTCATCTCCATTAGGGTATCTTTGCTGATTCATTATTTGTCAACTTGCTACAAGCTAGAGTTATTCATGAGGTGGGAACCACAGATGAAAAAAAAAATGCCTCCATAAGATTGATCTGTAGCTGGGTTCACTGGGCATACCTCTAATCCCAGCACGCAGGGAGGCAGAGGCAGGAGGAATGATGTGAGTACTAGGCCAGCCTGGTCTACAAATTGAGCCCAGGACAGCCAAGACTACACAGAGAAACCCTGTCTCAAAAAAGAAAAAAAAAAAAAAAAAAGATTGGCCTGTAGACAAGCCTGTGGAGCATTTTCTTGATTAGTGATTAAAGTGACTGGTCCTGGGTGCTATAAGAAAGCAGCCTGGGACTGGGTGTGGTGGCTCACACCTTTAATCCCAGCACTTTGGAGGCAGAGGCAGATGAATCTCTGTGAGTTTGGGGCCAGTCTGGTCTACAAAGTGAGTTCAGGAGAGCTGGGGCTGTTTACACAAGGAAACCCTGTCTCGAAGGAAGGAAGGAAGGAAGGAAGGAAGGAAGGAAGGAAGGAAGGAAGGAAGGAAGGAAGGAAGGGAAAGAGAGAGAGAAAGAAAGAAAGAAAGAAAGAAAGAAAGAAAGAAAGAAAGAGAAAGAAAGAAAAGAAAGAAAGAAAGAAAGAAAGAAAGAAAGAAAGAAAGAAAGAAAGAAAAAGAAGAGAGAGGGAGGGAGGAAGGAAGGAAGGAAGGAAAGGAAAGAGAGAGAGAAAGAAAGAAAGAAAGAGAAAGAAAGAAAGAAAGAAAGAAAGAAAGAAAGAAAGAAAGAAGAGAGAGGGAGGGAGGGAGGGAGGAAGGAAGGAAGGAAGGAAGGAAGGAAGGAAGGAAGGAAGGAAGGAAGGAAGGGAAGGAAGGATGGAAAGAAGGAAGGAAGGGAAAAAAGGAAGGAAGGAAGGAAGGAAGGAGGGAAGGAGGGAAGAGATAGAAGAGTATAAGAGAGAGAGAGCAGGCTGAGCAAGCCAGGAAGAGCAAACCAGGAAGCGGCACTCTCTCATGGCCTCTGCTTCAGTTCCTGCCTTGACTTCCTTAAATGATGGACTATGATATGGAAGTATAGCAAAATAAAGCCTTTTCCCTGCAAGCTGTTTATAGTCATGTTGTCTCTTCAAAGCAAGGAAACCATGACTGGAACTGTATTCTGTGGCTTGATTAAAGGTCTTAGGACATTCATCTACCATGACAGTATCATATCAAAGATG